TTAAATGTATTTGCATGTTTAATTCCAGATGTGGCCTTGTGTTTTAGTTTTTTTTCAAATGCCAGCGCTAGCTTTATTGCCACTAGGCTATTAGTTATGCTATTTTGTGTCTACGACAAACGCGTACAAACATGAATTTTGTATAAGTGCTAATGTTGTAAATGTATTTTTCATGTATATATGCTTTATGACGTTATTTTCGATTTGATCAAGAACGTAAACTTGCCACCGCTGTTTGAGTATAACATTAGTAGCCAGTCAGTTGCTATTGTTGCCAGTCAGATGCTATTGTGTTAAACAAACTTGTATAAAGTTAAACAAAATGTAGCAAATTATCATTCAGAAACGTTTATTAAGAGCCGTGTGTGGTGAGGTTCTGTTTGACTCGCTTCATCGCGGCTTTCTCTTTCTCGGTCTGATTCTGGGTCATTCTGATACTGCAGTTCTATGGAATTACATTTGTCTCAATAATAATGAACGTAACTTTATAAAACTGAATGTAACTTTTTCAGAAACTATCAAAATATTCCATTACAAAAGAAGAAAAATACAATTAAAATGAAAAAAATTAACTCAGTCGCACGAATTTAACAGGCTCTTCAAATATGCTTCATTTTTTGTTATTGGTTTTCAAAGATTCGTTTTCGCAAATCGTGGATTCTGAATACATTGATACAGATTTCGTTTATGCTTCTCAGTTTTTCGTTTGCTGCCAAAGATTTCGCTTACGTTTCGGAGCTTTTCGTTTGATGTTTTGAGACAAATCTCTCGTGGGGGTGGGCTTAACAGTGATCTACTCTGATTGGATAGTGAGCTTTTGATGGACAGGTGCTCTCTGACCCGGAAGTAAAGACGTCACTGAGTGGCGCGCACATTGGAAAGCTCTCGTCTCGCGGTTAGATAGTCAGTTACGCAATACTTCGTGCTTTGTTCTATTGTTAACAATATATGTAAATAATACTTGACCTACAATTATATAATTTAATATTATATGAGACCGTCGGCATCCTTCGTCTTAGTCTGTGAGGATGAGCTCTCAGGAGAGACACGGAGCGGCATCATCTTCCTCCTCAGCTTGCTCTTCAAGGCAGCTTGTAGTAAGTTCGTGTTACTGAAGTAACCAATAACGTTGATACAAGTCTTATCCATGTAATGTTACAGTGTGCAACAGTTCGTTGCAGGTTATTATTGTCATTCACAAGTTTGCAATGCACTGATGTCATATCATGATGTTTTGTAGCTTGATTGTTTGCTCTTTTGCACAATTATTATATTCAAGGACTTGTCAATGTAGACAATGCATATATCAAACTGGTCTTTATTGTACAGCAAGACAGAAATCTTGGTGCAGATGCTGCATCTGCTACTGTTCAAAACATCATTGAAATCCTTAACCAGTCGTTCGGGAATACCAGCACAAGGCAGGGTCAGCAGCAGTCGGGGCAGAGTCATACAGTCATGGCCGTGGGAACATATTTTATCATGGGGGTGCTGGGCGTGGCTTGACAGAGTCGGCGCCAGAGCAGATCTACTGGAGGGGAATTGGGTCATCAGGGGGTTTGCACTGCCGTTTGAGAAATATTTTGACGCAAAAAAAACAAAAAAACAAACAAACCAGAAACACCTTTTACTACTATCATAATTATTAATAATTATTATTTGGTAATTTCTCCACCACTTTTTGCCAGGGTCGATATTGTCCCCAGCACTTTTAAACATCTCGCGGCGTGGATGTACCAATACAAATAAATAAAACAAATCCGAATTTGGGGGAATGCAAGGTTTCGAGGTGCATTTTTGTTGAACTTATTTTAACTTGAGTGCCGCGTTTTGAGAATGAGGTTTCATTCGCGAGACGCGAGCGCAACAGTTGCGTGCGCGTTCACAGTGAAAAGCATTTGGAACAGTAGCAGAGGGTAATGGAAAAACTCGTTCTTTGTGAACAGCCCTTAATGCCAAAGAATGCTTTAATCAAGACATCTGTATTTAGTTTTTTCACATGCATAAAATGAGTGTCAAATCAATTTTGACATGCTGGACCTCAACCAGTGTCATGTCACTCACTCTATGCGAGATCGACTTTTGCCTTATGATAGGCAGCCTATATTAATTTCTATACAACTCTTCGACAACATATGGAAATGAAATAATCGTTAGAGTCGTTTTATAAAGGTAGAAGGTGTTCTTAAAAAACATGTTGAAAAACAAAGTTATTTAAAGTTACGTCATATTAAATTTCAATGTAGTGAAACAGCTAGGGGTGTAACGATTCACTCGTTTTCTCGATGCATCGATTATAAATCCTGGCGATGCATATGCATCGATCCTGAAACATGTATTTTGAATCGTGAATCGTTTATTTACGTGAATAATCGATTTAAAAGGCTAAGAATCGAATTAATCACGATTTTATAGTGATTCAGTGGTTTAAAATATATAAACACAACCTAAAAGTGTTCCTGGTACAAGCTGCCTCACGCATTGGCCGTCATACGACATCCGCATTTGATTGGTTTCAGGCGCTCACACACCCCTGATTTCTCACGCTGAAGCTCGGTCGGTCAAATGCCTGAAAGATGAGTTTATCTTTCTACCTGTTGAGCTACTCATGTCGTGATTAGCTTGTATTACCGCAAATTAGTTAAAATCTCCCGGAATCTAGAGCGAGCGTGCATACGAGACAGAGGTTGTGCTCCAAACCGCGTATCGCGCGTTCACACGCGGCTGCACGCACTCGGCAGAGAGGGAAAGCGAGCGAGAGACCACCTTGCGTGTACGGAGAGTCCATGTAATAAATGAATGAAAGCGTTTTATTTCATAGTGCCCACGCAATGGCATGGCAGCTTTATCAATGGCTTGAGCGGTTTGCCTCAAAACTATTGCTTTCTCGACAGAGAGCTCAGCTGGAGAGCTCAAACATGGACTGCTCAAAAATCTGTAGTTAACGTTATGAAAGCATGAGAGCTATGGGACCGAGCGCGAGCAAAATCCAGTGAAAAGATGATAACGAGTGCACTGAGAGGACGCAAAATGAAACTAATGAAAACGTCTCCATTAATTTGTGCATGTAGTCATTTAATGCAATACTTTTTTTAAAGCCTTTTTCAAAATATTTGCTACTTGCAAATGCTAATTTGTAGGCCATTGATTTTTTTTTATAATAATATATTCATTAAAATTAAAAACAAACATGAACTAACATTAACAATGGACAAAATCCCCACTATCTGATCCCCGAAGGCCGCTGTGTAGGCTAATTCAAACCCAGACAAAGATGGGTGAAGCATTGAAATTATACTATAATGCATATAAAAAATTAAGAATCGAATCGAATTAATCGAATCGCATCGAATTTGGATGTGAATCGCATCGAATCGAATCGTTCTGAATTTGCACAAATCGTTCATGAATCGAATCGAAAACCTATGAATCGTGAATCGAATCGATTCGCTGTCTACCCAAAGATTCACAGCCCTAGAAACAGCTGTCGCCAGGGGGTGCTGCAGCACCCTCAGCACCCCTACTTCCCACGGCCCTGCATACAGTGGACCAAGATATGGTCAGGTTTCAGTTTTGCAGTCACAACAATGAAAAACAGCCACATTGTATTCAGCATGCATTTACAAAACATTTTAGCACTTATCATTAGAGAAGTGGTAGTAGTCAGGGGCCATTTTGAGGTTCTTTGTGTTCCCGAATAAACACATTAATGTAACAAAAATAATGCAATACTAATTTCTATTTTCAAAGGTCTTTCCCTGGATTTTTTAAGCGGGGTTCGAAAAGACGGCTACCCAGCTGTAGTAGACCAGCAAAGTGCAACAAAATATGGAAACCCTTTGTGTTTTCAGTTTTTCTGTTAAACAAAAATACAGATATGGCCCCGTCACCAGCTGATGAGGTGCAGCTTTTGCAAGCTGGCTTGGGAAAATGGAATCTTACCATGTCTGATGACTTGAAACATTCAGAGGTGATGTATATTTACACACCATAACAGCTATGCCTTCCTTGTTATAAACGACTAAAAACCTTTGTTAGAATTATTTTCTAATCTTGAGTTAAATGTGGATTTTAGGTCTCTAGCTTGTTCAGTGATGCATACCCAAAAATGAACTCTGCATCTGGAGGCTGGCTTCTTTACAAAGCAACTGGTATGATCTGTAAACTAACACAACATGAACTAGTTTTACATTATTGCACAGTGCCGATAGTTTTGTGAATGTCATTTAATTTCTTTTTGTGCATTTCAATAGATTGGCACTGACAGTGTTTTTCTGTTTAAAACTTACAATTACATCATACACAGTTTTAATGGAATTGGATGGCATTTCAATTTCATAATATTTATTTATTCAGGTGGACATGGTAGAAGGCGGTTAAATCTAGTTCCTCCGGAATCTGAAGGCACTATGCTTCCTCCTCCAGACCACGCCCTCCACAGCCTCCAGGGCGCCCACCCCCCCTCCCCATTGATGTTACGGCGTGAAGTCACGCCTACCGGGAGGGGGGAATAATGTCACAGTCCTTCGTCTGCACCAGTCTGTCTTCGTCATCTGCACTACACTACCCAGGATCCTTTTGTCTCCTCTCCTGAACTCACTCCCTCATCAGCCACCTGTTCCTCGATTTTGATCATCTGTTTCACCTGTTTTTTCTCCATTATGTTTGATTCATCTGTGTATTTAGTTCCCTCAGTTTCATTCAGTCTTGGTCGGTCGTTGTCTAATGTGAGCTGTGTTGCACCCGTGTTCCTGTCTTCCTGCCTGTTTATTATATTAAAAGCTATCTTTATGGTTACTCTGGAGTCCTCCGGTTCCTCAGCCAGCACCAGACCATGACATAAACCTTGAAAACATCATGATGGATAATGTTAATGACATGGAATTTTCACCACTGATTAAAATGGTATATATGAAAATAATTTGTGATTATGTAGTTTTCTATTGCAATGCACCTTTTGTGAATGTTTCAAGAAAACCTAAAATTCTTTCTAGATCGAGGAGACTTCAGACCTGTTGAATTACTGTGATCAAATTACGAGCTGTGGATACACTGGCCCTATAAATGACCAAAACAAGGAGAATATAAAGAGGTATCACTTTATGCATTTCTTAAAGGGATAGTTCACTCAATTTATTATTATTATTTTTTAATAATACATTTTTTATAAGAAAATAAGAAAATTTTTTTCAATTTTGTTTTTCTGCTTGCCCACAGGGCATCCAAGATATAGGTGACTTTTTTTGTTGAGTAGTGCACATGATGATTTTTAACTCCAACCGATCCAGTCTGTCAGTTGGATAATGCACAGCAATTGGAACTCCATCTATTAGCGTTAAAAAACCAAAACATGCACAGATAAATCCAAATTAAACCCTGTGGCTCGTGATGACGCATTGATGTCCTAAAACACAATACGATTGGATTGGTTCCACATACAGGATGCTTTTTTAAAAATACTGTTTGGTTTCTTGCACAAACCAATTAATTCGTGTCTCAGGACATCAATGTGTCGTCACAAGCCGCAGGGTTTAATTTTAATTTGTTTGTGCATGTTTTTTACTCTTATAGATGAAGTTCCCATTGACATGCATTATACGACTGACACACTGCAACGGGTTGAGTTAAAAATCATCATTTATGTTCTACTGAAGAAACAAAGTCACCTATATCTGATGCCCTGGGGGCAAGCAGGTAAACATCATTTTCATTTTTGGATGAACTATCCCTTTAAATCTTTTTTTTATTTTTATTTTTTTTTACAAACAATGCAAGTAATAATTATTAGATTGTAAAACAATGTTTGTTTCTGTTCTATAAAGGGCAATTGCAATGCATGCCGCTGCTCGAAGAACTCTAATGCTTCAGCAGCTCCGTGAGGGCCTTCAACTTTAGCGTCTAGTGGACATCATGGAGAAGAACAAAGAAGTGTGCCGTGGCCTCTTTGTTTTTGAAGGTGGCAATGATCAGGTAAGGTACATATATTTGGAAAAATCATTAGAGCAGTGGTTCTCAACTGAAGTCCTGAGACCATTATCCTAAGTTGATCAACTTAGGGTTACAATGCTTTGGGGAATCGCAGCCCGGCACATTTTGTCTTTTTTTTTAACGCACTAGATTCAGGTTATTAGCTTGTTATAGACCTTATTCAGAGCAGCGCCATGACAGGTATGAAAGTGAGGCTGTGAGGGATAGACTTACCGTGTTTCCAATGGCATCCGCAGTAAAAAGCTAAATAAAGCGGCTAGATTACTAGATTACACTTTTCCACAGCTTACATTCTCGGGAGTTTTTTGTTAACTGGCATTTCTTTGAAAGATATTTTTCAAGTGTTTCATGAGCAGAACAATCCGAAAACACATTAAATAACAATACAGCCCATTGAAGAGATGCAAGTCTATCCCTCACAGCCTCGCTTTCATTCTCATTAAAAATCAAAGATGGCGCTGCCGTGAATAAGGCGTATAAGACAGCTCAATGAACTAAACAGTTTATCTTAGATAAGAGACATACAAAATGTACAGAGCTGTGGGTCCCCAGAACTAGAATCGAGAACCACTGTGTTAGAGAAACTCTTTTGAACTCCTATTTTTGAATATGGCATTTTCTTTAATGATTTTTTTTTTCTGGAATGTTTTTCCAGGTGGACTCTCATTACATTGTGTCACATCTTGACCCACAAATGAGTGAGAGTGGCACTTTAAAGCACAGCAAAGAAATGCAAATCTTGAATCACTTCCAAGATTTTTTAATGGAACTTGAAGGTAAATTTGTTGTTACTCAAGTGTTAAGGCAATGTCTATTTTTAGATACTTTAAATATATGCATGTATGTTTACTGCCCTAGATGGAGATTCTGAGGATGAGGAGGCACTTTCTAGTAGAGTTTTCTCCTCTTACTGAAAGAGTGTGCATGCGGCACAAATTTTTAATCTGCCCATGTATTCCTGAGTGCGGTATTCTGATAGAATCAGCTGATGGGCGCGAGCGCTGTTTGACGTGTTTGGGCTTTGATCACGCTCAGACAGCGCTCGTGGGTGTGTCACGTTCTCTCAGTGGGAACATGATCATCGCAATGTATAACGGTTGAGACTCAATGCGCTCAGTAGAGTGAGAGTCCCCTCATCCACAACCCGAACTATTTTCTCCACGTGAGATAATACTTTGGCTGGTGGCCAGGGTGACCAAAAAGATGTCAGGTCTGGAACTAAATCGACGAAATTCCTCGGTCCACACCCCATCTTTCACGTTGCAACCCATGTGGTCCAGAGTGAGTGGGCGGGGCCGTCCACGGGCCCGCATTCTCATTCGGTCCCCCAGCTGATGAAATCATGTTTATCGCCGCATCACAAGGTGAGCTGGAGTCCTCTGGAGATGGCTCGTCTATGCTGCTGTCCTCAGATGTGCTAGCATAGCGAGTTTGATTCATGGCTCACAGCTATGCTTCCCGGGCTGCCGCGAGTATCGGGTTTGTGTGGAAAATTCTGCTATATCCCGAGCACTTAAGGCTGATGATTGGTTTTTGGGGGTGGCGAACCCAAATCCTTTCTTCCCGGATGTGCATGAAGAGGCCGTGAGATCGTGGAAGTCTCGTTTCACTTATCACGATCACTCAGCGGCCTCTTCCGCCTTCTCTGCCCTCGTAGAGGCCGCAGTCTAGGGTGCACTGGGGTTCCCCCCTGTGGAGTGTTCTGTGGCAACACTTATGTGTCCCCCCACCTGGTGTGGCAGCCCTAGGCACCCCTCCAATGCCTGTAGGTTCTTGTCTACTCCGGTGGCGGAGACTTATAGAGCTGCGGGGCAGGCTGCCACCTCACTGTATGTTATTGTCATTCTCATGGGTGTTCAATGACGAGGGTAGGGCTGATTTAGGGCTCATCCTTGAGCTGCCTGCTGTCACCGACCTTGCTCTACGAGCGACGAGTCAGGTGATGTCCACGCGTGTGGTCAGACATTTTTGGCTTAACCTGGTCGATGTGCGTGAGGCTGAGTGAACCATTTCTTCAACTTTCCCATATCCCATACTAGCCTCTTCGGTGGCGCGGTCGAGAATGCTGCCCAACAGTTCTTGGCCGCCCAGAAGCGGAATGTGGCTTATCTGACTCTGCGGTTTCTGCTGCTACTAGCCGCCGGCTCAGATGCTTCAGTCCGCTTGCCGCCGAATGCGCCCTCCTGCGACTTCCGCCCCCTCCCGTCCTGTCCCAGCAGCACCGGGCCGTGCCGTGGAGGTGGTCGTAGGGAGGCGCCCCTGCCCGTACCAGCCCCGCAGCCCCGCTGCATTGCTCCCGTTACGGGCAGCTCGGGTATGGCTTGCAGTTCTTCAGGGAGTGGTCGCAGGCCCACTCCTTCCCCCGGTGGAGGGCTGGGGGAGAATCTTTTCTTCAAAGAGCTGCATTCCATCTCCGAGCACAGAGAGCAAGGTGAAAGTGCGCAACGGCCCCGTGCCCCGCCACTCTCATTCTCCTCTGTCTCTGAGGGTGCGGATGGGAGTGTCTGGGAGTCGCCAAGCCTCCGACAGAGCAGACCCCCGTGGAACGCTGGTCCTTCCCTGGTCTCCTCTGATGGGACGCGGAGCTCGACTGTGCACTCGCGGTGGGGTAGCACCTCCGCGTCTGCTGGTCTCTCCGCCCCGCTGCCCCTCCGGGGGGACGTCTGTGGCTCGGGTATCCCACTGGATCGGTTCTGGGAGCTTGGTTAGAGCTCCCCGGCCTGTCCCGCTGGGTCGCCCGAACGATCAGACTCAGCTATGCGACTCAGTTCACACGATCTCCTCCCCGTTCTGGGGAGTTCGCTTGTGGTGGTCGGTGGCTATGCCCCGATCATGGGAGACGACCGATCCTAGATCTTCGCGTTTTGAACCGTGCTCTGCCTGTCAAAATGCTCATGGCCAAATGCATTTTCGAGTGCGTTCGGCCTCAGGATTGGTTTGCAGCGATGGACCGGAAGGACGTGTACTTTCATGTCTCCATCTTGCCTCGAGGGAGAGGCATATCAGTACCCCTTCGCGAACACGGGGTTCGCATCCTGAACTACCTCGACGATTGGCTTATCCTAGCACACTCTCGAGAGCAGGTTTGCGAACACAGAGAACTTGTGCTACAGCACCTAGGCCATCTGGGCCTTCAGGTCAATCGGGAGAAAAGCTAACTTTGCCCCGTGCAGAGGATCTCTTTTCTCTGAAGGGAGATAGACTCGGTCGCCATGTCCGCGCAGCTCAAGAGCGAGCGCGCGCACTCACTGCTGACTTGTCTTTGACAGTTCAAGGGTCAGAGCGCGGTCCATCTGAAACTCTTTCAGAGGCTCCTGGGGCATATGGCATCCGCAGCTGCGGCGATGCCGCTCGGATTGCTTCATATGAGAACGCTTCAGCTTCGCGATCGAGTCCCGAGGTGGGCATGGCATCGCGGCTCAGTCCCAGTGACTCCAACCTGCCGTCAGACCTTCTTCCCGTGGTCGAACCTCAGCTTTTTATGGGCTGGGGTCCCTCTTTTGCGAGTTTCCAGGCATGTCGTTGTCTCCACGGATGCCTCTACCACGGGTTGGGGAGCCATGTGCAATGGGCATGCAGCCGCGGGTTCCTGGACAGGACCCCAGCGCCTCATGCACATCAATTGCCTCAAGCTGCTGGCAGTACGCCTGGCCCTGCACCGCTTTCGAGCACTGCTCCAGGGTCAACACGTACTTGTCCATTCGGACAATACCGCTACGGTAGCGTATATCAACCACCAGGGTGGTCTACGCTCACGTCAGATGTCGCAGCTCGCACGCCACCTCCTATTATGGAGTCAGAAGCACTTGAGGTCCCTTCGTGCTGTTTACATTCCAGGAGACCAGAACCTGGCAGCCGACGAGCTGTCACGGATCCGTCCAATCTCCGGCGAATGGCGACTCTATCCCCAGTCAGTCCAGCTGATTGGGAGCAGTTCGGGGAGGCACAGATAGACCTGTTCGCCTCCCGGGACTCATCCCACTGCGCCCTGTTTTACTCCCTGTCCGAGGGCACAGTATGCGTTCCCCCAGTGAGCCTTCTTGCACGGACTTTGTGCAACATCAAGCAGGACGAGTAGCAGGTCTTGTTGGTAGCCCCCTATTGGCCCACCAAGACTTGGTTCTCCGAACTGTAGCTCCTCGCGACAGCACCTCCTTGGCCTATTCCTCTGAAAAAAGACCTACTCTCTCAGAGACGGGGCACCCTCGTCCCGAGCTCTGGAGGCTACACGTGTGGCTCCTGGACGGGACGAGGCAGGTTTGAGTACGCTGACACCTGCGGTGGCGGCGACCATCACTTCCGCTAGAGCGTCGTCCACTAGACACCTCTATGCGTTGAAGTGGAACCTCTTCGTCAACTGGTGCTCTTCTCGCGGAGAAGACCCCTGGAGATGCCCGATCAATGTCGTGCTTTCCTTCCTGCAGGAAGGGCTGGAGCGTAGGCTGTTGCCCTCCGCCCTTAAAGTTTACGTCGCGGCTATTGCCGCGTCTCATGAAGCAGTTGAAGAGAGCAGGTTTGCGGAAGTCTTTGGGGAAGCACGACCTGGTCATCAGATTCCTGAGGGGAGCGAGGAGACTGATCCTCCTCGCCCTCCCCTCGTGCCCTCTTGGGACCTCTCAGTAGTTTTAAGTGCCCTTTGAGCCTTTGCAATCGGTAGAGATTAAGTTTCTGTCCATGAAGACAGCACTCCTGGTTGCATTGGCCTCCATCAAGAGGGTAGGGGACCTGCACACATTCTCCGTTGACGAAGCGTGCCTGGAATTCGGGCCGGCTTACTCTAACGTGATCTTGAGACCCCGGCCTGGATATGTGCCCAAGGTTCCTACCACTCCCTTCCGGGACCAGGTGGTGAACCTGCAAGCGCTGCCCCTGTACCTGTACAGCCTGTACAGCCGGGATGCTGCTAGATGACTAGCATCTAGCTGCTTGATACTGCTAGATCCGTCCTTCGGATGAGACGTTAAACCGAGGTCCTGACTCTCTGTGGTCATGAACAAAATACCAGGATGTCTTTCGAAAGAGTAGGGGTGTAATCCCGGCATCCTGGCCAAATTTGCCCAGTGGCCTCTGTCCATCATGGCCTCCTAATCATCCCCATATACACCTATTAGCTTCATCACTGTCTCCTCACTGTCTCCTCTTCACATTGGTGGTGGTTGAGGAGATCCCCCCCCTCCTATGTAATAGATAAAATGTGATGAGGCGTTTCAACCTTCAATTTTTCTCCCTCTCTAGATTTTCAATATACAGATAATAAATACACTTTTGCTGTAATCATAAATACAGTTATCACATTTCTGTAGAGTTCTATAATGTAAGTAAAATTGCAAATGTTAAAAAAATCCATACAGACCTTCTTGGTTGTATGTGGGGCAAAAGGAAGGACATTATCTCTGCATATTTCCATTCCTTTTGTGATCCACCTGCTGATCCAGTTGGCAGGTTTTTCTTCCGGTTCTTCACAAAATAATCTTGTAATGTCTTCCATCTTGCTTTGCAAACATCAACTGAAATACAAAAAAGAGACAGGTTAATAAAATAATATGAAATGTAAGTAATCGTTGTGTGTTTCTTCCCTCACAGGTACTTCACTTCTGGGGACTCACTGGTCAGCCTAGCTTTCAGCTATCGCCTTGGTCACAGAACTGTAGTCAACTCTGTCCATATGGTGTGTGCAGCCATTGAAAAATTCATGATGGGGAGGTTCCTACCCAGGCCAACACAAGACACTTGGAGGGAGGTGGCACAAGGTTTCTGGGACAAATTGAATTTTCCAAACTGCCTGGGTGCAATAGATGGAAAGCATGTAGTCATACAACCACCACCACGATCTGGAAGTCAGTACTTCAACTACAAGAATACTTTTTCCATCGTGCTTTTGGCGCTTGTAGATGCTGACTACAGGTTTCGAGTAATTCAAGTAGGAGACTTTGGAAGAACCAGCGATGGTGGGGTCTATGCTGGATCTGATTTGGGGAGAGGAATGGAATCAAGAACACTTCATGTGCCACCCAGTACCTCTCTGCCTGGTGCTGCTCAGCTTGGAGATATGCCATTTGTCATGGTGTGTGATGCAGCTTTCCCACTCAAGCCATACCTGATGAGACCATCACCTGGACACAACCTCACTCATCAGAAGAGGATTTTTAATTACAGACTCTCAAGAGCTAGGATGGTGGTGGAAAACGCCTTTGGGATTCTTGCCTCCAGGTGGAGAATATTTCATCGCAGAAATTAACCTGCACCCTAGAAATGTGGACACAGTTGTGGTGGCATCATGCATCCTTCACAACTTCCTGCTTTCCCCCAGTGAAAACCAGAGGTTGCTGGATGAGGAAGAGCAGCTTGGGAGACACATGGCTCCAGTGAGGAATATGTGAGGAAACCGGGCATCAAGAGACGTCTGTAATGTCAGGGAGATTTTCTGCACCTTCTTCAACTCGCCCGAAGGCAGTGTGTCTTGGCAAGACAGGATGGTGTAATAAAATGACCAAGTGTCTTAATGTGGCCCAAAAGAATTTGTCCATATCATATTCATTTGTAAATAGCTTTGTTGTATTTTTGCTATTTCTTTCAATACTCACACAGAAGTTGTTTTTTTAAAGGTCTTCATTTTTTATGTATTCTTCAAAAATGTCTTTTATAAAATAATTGTACTGTACAAAAATGTGGTTATGTCTGTTTCTCACATCAATGTGGTTTAAATCACCCAAAGTGTTTTACTACTGGGAAAGAGGTGATGACAGTCTGTGCAGCCTTTAATCAACAATTCACATTTGCATGACAATGAAAGTGCAGACATCCAACAATTTAATGCATTGAAACAACAGTTACTGTGAATTTTGGATAACCATGTAATAATAACAATGCTAAAAAGTTTTTACTAATAATATATAATCATAAATGTACAACTACATCATAACCAAAAAAATCAAACATTAAGACTACCTATAATAACTAAGAAAATGTAATAATGTCATGATCCTGGCTCGTTCTCTGTCCCCCCCTGCTGGTTATTCGTTCACTCACTCACCCACTTGCCGCTTTCACTTTCATTACTGACAGCTGTTATCACTTTTCATTAGGCTCATCTCTCTCCACCTGTCTCTCGTTCCCCCCTCATTATCTTGGCTTTTTCTTACCTTCTCTTTCTTGTCGTGTTGTCAGTTTGTTCGTAAGTTTCGATGCGTGCATCTGTCTGAGTCCAGTCCAGTCCTGTCTAGAATCATATCTCTGATTACTTCGAGTATTATTCTGTGTCCATGCGATATACTTCCAGAACCATACCTGCTAGGAGTCTGAGGCTGTGTTCCTTCTTCATTGCTCGCTATCCCGGCCCTGAGGGTTTCTGGGTCCCTACTGCTCCAGCTCTCTGGTCATCTTTGCCTGGACCACAGAGGGAGTTTTCTGTTCAAGTTCGACTGCCTGTTCTACAGGAACCTTCTGTTGCTGTTTAATATCATTCCTCTGTTACACGTACCTGTGGTCATCCTGCCATTTGCTATTAAAGAGCTGTGATTGTCATCCTCGCTTCTGAGTCCTCTCTAAATCCATCACAGAACAAACTGACCAAGAATGGACTCAGCGAATGGCAACGCGTTCCAGTCCGCTGTCGAACATCAGGGTGTTCTCCTGGGCAAGCATGAGGAGGACATCTCCGCAGCCAGACACGCGGTTGAGACTTTGGCCGCCCAGATGTCGGATCTTTCTTGTCAGGTCCACAACCTGCGTCTCCAGCCTCCCTCTTCGCTGGGGTCTCATGATTCTCCGGAGCCCCGGATAAATAATCCGCCCGTGTACCGGGGTGAGGCCACACAGTGTCGGTCGTTTCTGACCCAATGTGAGGTAATCTTCTCCCTGCAACCATTGACGTACGCGAAGGAACGCACTAAGGTGGCGTACGTTATCTCCCTTCTCGCCGGCCGGGCACGGGAATGGGCAGCGGCTAACTGGGAGGCGGAGAGGGATTGCGTCTTCAGCTTCGCATTGTTTAAGGACGAGATGATCCGGGTTTTCGACCGTTCTGCTCACGGCGAGGAGGCTTCGCGGTTGCTGTCTTCTCTCCGGCAGGGGAGGCGCTCGGTTTCTGATTTCTCCATAGAATTTCAGACTCTAGCTACCACCTGCGGCTGGAACCAACCCGCGTTGGTCGCTCGTTTTCTGGAGGGTCTCAGCTCCGAGCTGAGAGAAGAGATCCTTGTCCGAGAGGTCCCCGCTCGGCTCGACGAGCTCATTCAACTGGCAATTCGAGTGGAGAAGAGATTCGACTTACGACGCCGAGCTCGCCGCATGGAGCCTGTCCTGGGGTCCACGCCCACTGCTGGTTCCGTTATACCCGCTCCGAGTCCGGATCCCGAGCCCATGCAGCTTGGAGGTCTGCGAATCTCCCCTAAGGAACGGGAAAGGAGACTGGTTAATCGTCTTTGCATGTACTGTGCTGCTCCCGACCACTTTGCTCTGTCGTGCCCAGTAAAAGCCAGCGCTCGTCAGTAGGCGGAGGGTTACTGGCGAGCGCAATCTCTAGAGAGATCCCTTCAGACTCTTGCACTACTCTACCTGTGCATCTTCAGTGGTCCAGTTCATCTGTTCCCTGCTCTGCCATGATCGACTCTGGGGCCGAGGGAAATTTCGTGGATGAGGAGTGGGCCCGGCAGCAAGGTATTCCCCTCACCTATTTAAAGCATTCAACCCCCCTTCTCGCCCTAGACGGTAGTTCCCTTCCTAGGGTTCTAAGAGAGACTGTTCCACTGACTCTTACCGTTTCTGGTAATCATCGAGAGACTATTTCTTTTCTTGTTTTTCGTTCGCCCTTTGCTCCAGTAGTATTAGGTCATCCCTGGCTTAAACGTCATAATCCCCATATCGATTGGTCCCTTGGCTCTATCTTGTCTTGGAAGTTATCGTGTCATGTTGATTGTCTTGTGTCTGCTGTTCCTCCTGTGTCTTCTGTTTCTGTGTTTCAGGAAGAGGCAGGGGATTTGTCTGGAGTACCGGAGGAGTATCACGATTTGCGGGAGGTATTCAGTCGTTCCCGGGCCACTTCTCTCCCTCCTCACCGTCCCTACGATTGTGGTATTGAACTTCTCCCGGGTACCACGCCCCCTCGGGGAAGACTTTATTCTCTCTCGGTTCCTGAACGGGAGGCGTTAGAGAATTATTTGTCTGACTCTCTCAGGGCTGGCACTATTGTCCCGTCCTCGTCTCCGGCCGGTGCGGGTTTTTTCTTCGTCAAGAAAAAAGACGGCTCTTTGCGTCCCTGCATAGATTATCGGGGGCTGAATGACATCACGGTTAAGAACCGCTATCCCTTGCCACTGATGTCTTCAGCTTTCGAGATCTTGCAGGGAGCAAAGATTTTTTCTAAGCTTGATCTTCGCAATGCTTACCATCTCGTACGAATTAAAGAGGGGGACGAGTGGAAGACCGCTTTTAATACACCCCTCGGGCACTTTGAATACCGGGTCCTTCCGTTCGGTTTGGTCAACGCCCCCGCCGTCTTTCAAGCCCTTGTCAACGATGTCCTTCGGGATATGCTAAACGTGTTCGTGTTTGTGTATCTCGATGACATATTGATTTTCTCACCCTCCCTCCAAGTCCATGTGCAGCATGTACGCCGCGTACTTCAGCGCTTACTCGAGAATCGCCTCTTTGTAAAGGCTGAGAAATGCTCTTTTCACGTGCCTTCCGTTACATTCTTAGGTTCGGTCATCTCGGCTGAGGGAATCAGTATGGATTCGTCTAAGGTCCAGGCGGTAGTTGACTGGCCCGTTCCTGATTCTCGTGTCGCGTTACAGCGCTTTCTTGGATTTGCTAATTTTTATCGCCGCTTTATACGCAATTTCAGTCAAGTAGCCGCGCCGCTCACCGCCCTGACCTCAGTTAAGTCCTGTTTTAGGTGGTCAGAATCCGCTCAAGAGGCTTTTGACCGTCTAAAGGTTCTCTTTACCACCGCACCCATTCTGATCATGCCGGATATCACTAGACAGTTTATTGTCGAGGTCGACGCGTCGGAGGTAGGGGTAGGCGCCGTTCTTTCTCAGCGGTCAGCCTCCGATAACAAGGTACATCCTTGCGCTTTTTTTTCGCACCGTCTGTCTTCCGCGGAGCGTAATTACGATGTCGGCAATCGGGAACTGCTCGCCATTCGCCTGGCTTTAGGCGAGTGGCGCCAGTGGTTGGAGGGTTCCTCCGTTCCTTTTGTCGTCTGGACCGACCATCGAAATTTGGAATACATCCGTTCCGCAAAGAGACTGAACGCACGCCAGGCTCGCTGGTCGCTGTTTTTTACGCGCTTCGACTTCTCCATCTCTTATCGGCCCGGGTCCAAGAATGTTAAACCGGACGCGCTGTCTCGCCTCTTTGGTTCCTCCTCCTCTTCTTCCACCCGGGAGGAGATTATTCCTCCTGGTCGTGTGGTGGGGGCGGCGATTTGGGGAATCGAAAGACAGGTGAAGCGTGCTCTTGCCCATGCCGTCACTCCGCGCGACTGCCCTAGAGGCTCCTTATTCGTTTCGGTGCCCACTCGCCTAGCCGTCCTCCAGTGGGGACATTCTTCCAAATTGTCAGCCCACCCCGGCGTTCGGGGCACTATCGCGCTTATTCGCCAACGCTTTTGGTGGCCCACCTTAGTTCATGACGCGCGTCGCTTTATCGCTTCTTGTTCGGTCTGTGCCCAGACCAAGGCTGGTAATTCTCCGCCCGCTGGTCTGTTACGCCCGCTACCAGTTCCTACTCGCCCGTGGTCTCATATAGCGCTCGACTTTATCACGGGTCTCCCTGCGTCGGCCGGTAATACCGTCATTCTTACTGTGGTCGACCGTTTTTCGAAGTCCGCGCACTTCATTCCTCTCGCCAAGCTTCCCTCTGCCAAGGAGACCGCCCAGATAATGGTTAATCATGTTTTCAGATTGCACGGTTTGCCCACCGACGTCGTTTCTGATAGGGGCCCGCAATTCTCATCACAATTCTGGAAAGAATTTTGTCGTCTTATTGGTGCCACCGTCAGCCTCTCTTCGGGGTTTCATCCCCAGACTAACGGTCAGGCCGAACGTGCCAATCAGATTGTGGCCCGCATTCTCCGCAGTCTGGCGTTCCGTAATCCTGCGTCTTGGGCTGAGCAGCTTCCCTGGGCAGAATACTCACACAACTCTCTCCCATCTTCTGCCACGGGGCTCTCACCCTTTCACTGTTGTCTCTGCTACCAACCTCCGCTTTTTCCCTCGCAAGAGACAGAGTCGAACTGTCCCTCCGTTCAGACGTTCATCAGTCGCTGCAAGCGAACTTGGAGGAGAGTGAGATCGTCCCTTTGTCGTGCTAGGAGACGCATGAGCATCTCGGCCAATAAGTATCGCATTAAGAGTCCCCGCTATTGTGTTGGCCAGAGAGTGTGGCTCTCCACTTCCAATTTACCGCTTCAGTCCGATTCTCGCAAGTTGGCTCCCCGTTTTATCGGGCCATTCCGTATAGTCAAGATTATTAATCCTGTCGCCGTCAAGCTTCATTTACCTCCTAACCTTCGTCGCATCCACCCGGTTTTCCACATCTCCTGCGTTAAGCCCGTCAATCGCTCGACTTCTCGTACCGCGTTCTCGGCAGTCCGTGTG